CCAATGATCATTTTACTGATATGTATAAAGACTGCAAAGGCTGAAAAATCTTGAAGTCTGTATGAAATTGGAGGTAGTTTGAGGACTAAATTTTTTTTATGCTTTTTAAGCTCAAAGGGGGGGGGGGGTCGTATTATACATGAGAACGTATTATACACGAATAAAGAGATCCAGTGCACTTGAGCTTTATAGGACAGCTAAATTAGCTGTTTTGTATTGCTGATGAAAGTTCAAAAACATATGCCTGGGATTGGAAAGAGTGATTTCTTCAGCTGATTTCAGTCTTGGAGCAAGACATGAAATCTGCAGGTTTGTTTAGTGGGCTGACAGCGAGGTGCTGTGGGTGGTGCTGTGGGTGGTGCTGAGGCCGTGTTCATGAAGAATCACGCTGCAGGAGGAACAACAAGGTTGAAACATTAAATGCAGACTTTTGGTTGCGTGAACGACTTGATGTCTTGTTTTATTCCTTCCTGTTTTCCAGTCAGAGGTTTTTTCATGAACATTTCTCTTGAGGAAATAATGCCAACTAGGACAGTCACTCCCAGTGCCAGCCATTTTGTTGTCAGTTATTTGTACTAGTCTAATTTAGTGTTTTACTTTTTTCAGACTTTCTTATGTTTGGACCTCTTGTGTTTTTTGGTTAGGGGGGATCAGTATTAGCCTAAACTGGAATTTACAGGCCAGGCTTTTGAAAGATCAGAGATCGGCTAGAAAACTGCAATCAGTGCACCCCTTATTTGCTTTAGTTTTGTAATCATGGGCTAAGAGTTTATTGTGCTTCTATACTTCAGGTGACCTTTTCAACRTCACATCACGCTCTGTGCTCATGTATGGACCCTTTTCACCTCTTTTTTTTTTTTAGGTTGGGACAAGCACTCTTACGGGTACCACGGAGACGACGGCCACTCCTTCTGCTCGTCTGGCACCGGGCAGCCCTACGGACCCACGTTTACAACAGGCGATGTGATTGGCTGCTGCGTGAACCTCATTAACAACACCTGCTTTTACACAAAAAACGGGCACAGCCTAGGTAAGGAGCGTTGAAAACTACGGTGGGATTCCTAATGTTTTTATCATGTGGTAGAACTTGTTCCCTGCAGTTGTTTGTTTTTATTTTGGTTTTTCTTGCGACATTTAAGTTGCTGACTGAAGCAGTCAGAACATTCTGAACCTGGCCATATTTCACGTGTTTACTTCCTGATAATAAATGATTCACTGGGTCAACAGTAAGGATGTAAGAAGTTAAATATAAAGGGATCCTGTTAAAAGCAACAAAAGCTATTTTTAGTTATTTGGATGATTTAACTCTAGAGGCTCTAACAAACTTGTAAAACCAGATTTGAGATTGGTGGGATTTGTCTTAACAGTAATGTGTGCGAAAGTGACTTTTGCAATGTGTACACTGTGTAAATACACTTGTTATGGTGTCATGTTGATGTCACAGTTTACTCACCAAGTCCTCCAACAGAAACTGGGACAGATATTGTTTTATGCTTTGTTTCCAGTGATGGAAGCTTCTTGTTTCTGGGTGGTTTAGTTACAATCCTGTAAATGAAATGTCAGGAACAGCTAATTATTTTATGATAATTTAAGATGATTGTTCTAAAAATAAATGAAGAAATATAGTATTTTAAAACACGTATAGAGAAAATAAATCCTCAAAATTTCCCCCTCCTGCTGTAGAAAAGTTACATCGTGTCGCGGGATCATTTCCTCCCTCCCGCTGCACGTCACGCAGAGCGAAGCTTTAACAACCGTAGTTTTTTTTACACCCAAGTTGTCGGAAAAAAAACTTGTTTTTTCTGTGTTGTTACCCACAGAGATCATAAAAGATGCGGACGTTCGTTCAGTCATAAACCCATCTAGCTAATGTAACAGTTCTGCTCTGAGAGCAGCAGAGCAGCAGTTGATAAGTTCAGCAGCAGAAGCTCATTGTATGGCAGGCAGATATTACATTTATTTGGCTTCACCACACTTACATTCCAATTATCTGAAATAGTTTTATGACAGGATTTTGTGCAGCTGAAACCCCTTAAAGTCCTGTCACACTAACATTTTAGGCAACATTGAATTTTTTTATGTATAAATGACTAATTGTACTTGAAGTACTGGTTATAGCATCCACTTTATTTTGATTTTGTTGAAAATTTAAGAAATGTTTTTGTTTGTTGTTGAAACCATTTTGCAATATATATATATAAAACATTTTGTACTTCTGTTATGTTCATTTGCACTACAGCAAAAGGTTGGGTTTGATTATGATCACAGTTTTCTGCTAAATAAATGCTCTAAAAATTATCTTTGCTTTTTATGATAATGTTCTGCCGTGGTAGACTGTATACCGTTACTGTGAAGGGATTCAGTTTATACCCTAATATGAATATGAGGTCATACCGCCCAGCTCTAATGTCAGGTATGATGAGGTAACATAATAAGCTTTTGGCTCTAAAAGAAAAATATTTTATTTACCATGGCAAAATTTCAAATCGATATCTATCCATCCAGTATCTGCTGCTTGTTCCAGGCAGCAGCTTCAGCAGCGAGTTTCATTCCACAGCCATCTTTTCCAGGACTCCCAAGGTGTTCCAGACCAGCTGAGAGGTATAATCTCTCCAGTGTGTCCCGAGTCTTCCCCGGGTTCTCCTCCCAGTAGGACATGCCTGGAAATCCTCCTTAGGGAGTAATCCAGGTGGCATCCTTAGCCTGAACCATCTCAGCTCGTTCCTCTGGATGTGGAGAAGCAGCAGCTCTGCTCTGAGTCTCAACTTCTCCCTCCTGTCTGTAAGGGAGAAAAAGCTGGAAAGTTTTATAAGCAAAGGATCAAAAGTTTATTTTGCTGTGAATTTTATTTACACAAATCCCTTTTATATCCTTCAATGGCATATCTCAGTAACAAAGAGATGAAATTAAACTGCAAGTCTTTATTTTATCAAACATTATTTTATAGTCAAACAGTTTTTATTTCTGTTCTCTCTTTTTTTTCTATTTTCATTCTGTGCAGTGTTTTTATAGTGTGYCCTCAGTGTTTTACTGCTAAATCTGACCATGTGAAGCAGACTCATCTTGATAAAGAAACCCATCTTGGCTCAGATAACTGATTGAATCAGGTTTCTGCAGAAAATGATGATAACCAGATTATTTCATCTTATGTAAACACAGACTGGCCTTGTGGACAGCTGGTTTCAGCAGTGGTCTGTCATAATGACACTGTCTTTGTTTCTCTGCAGGTATCGCCTTCACAGACTTGCCAGTAAGTACCCACTTTTGTTTGCCCTTGAGTTATCTTTAGTTTCCATTATTTATCTTCGCTGTGTGACACGAGGTTATTCAGAGAAATGTGTTTCATTTTGCACACAATGCCAACTGTGGTCAAAATGTTTACTTTCTGGAAAAAATGGGTTGAAATCATTTTTCAGGTGAACACAAAGACTTTCAGTTTTCAATTTTATATTTACATTTTAACTTGCAAGAATTAAACTGGATCAAGAGGAAAAAATGAATCCACACAGTACTAATACTTATTGTTCATCACTACTTCTACTGGATGAAAGGATCTGATTTGAAGGTGGTAGTTAAATTAGTTTAAAATGTAATTTACGATCCCCTGCGTTCTCTTCATTTGTTAGGAAATATCTTTGTAAAAACAAATGACACTTGTTTACTTTTAGGTACTTGGGTGTCAGTAAAAGGTAAAATATTTTAATATTTATATTTGCTGATAAAGATGAACTTACATTATGTTTATACCAAGGTTATAAT